CCGACTCATTGCTTTTTTGCATTTGCACTCTCAAGATTATTTAGATGCTACCTTCCCTGTCCTTCCTTCAACCATGTCCAATTTTTGGACAGAGTTTGGTTTCTTGGCAAGGCTTTCAGAAGCGGTTGGCCATGGCCTCCTTTCCAGAGCTGAGAGAAAGTAACTGGCCCACGGTCACACCCTGCTGTCTTTGTGCCTAAAGCAGGACTAGAACTCACAAACCTCCCGGTTTTTAGCCTGATACCTTCACCATTGCATCAAACCGGCTCTTAGCTGAATGTCTGGAGATTCTCAGTCATCCAGTTCATGGTTGTCCCAAAGGTGCTTTTTCCATTTGGACTTTCTGGATTTACTTTGAAGACATTTCACTTCTCATTCAAGAAGCTTCTTCCACTCTAACTGCGTGGTCAAAATCCTTCCATTCCCCATCATCGGAGCTGAAGACGCTTCTTGGATGAGTAGCGAAATGTCTTTTAAAAGAAAAACAAGGAAGTCCACTCAGCCTCTTGGAAAAAAGCTCCTTTCGGACTACTTCTAAGCTGGGCATGCCAACAAGAACTCAGAGTCATATTCGAACTACTGGGCAAGCTTTCTTTAGGCAGCTGTCCAAAGGCCCACCCCAGACAAACATCCTAGTCTGGATTAAGCCTGTTCTGTGAACCCAGTTCCCCTGGAACTGTTATTAACCGTTATTAAACATGTGGTTCACTTTAGGGTTCGAGTGTTACATTAGATGAACCCACGTAGTTGTGGGTTTGTGGAACAAAGTGTGATTCAGCCATGGGTTGGCATGGTCTTCCCATGTTGAGTTAAATTGCTAGAGTTCATAATTTCTCAAAGGAAGTAGAACCATTGTAAGGTTTCCTTGTGCAACTTGGCTCCAGATGTAGAACTGGCAGATGGTAGATCCGGTTTCCTTTGTACTGTTAATCTTCTGTGACCAATTCACTTTTCTTTGTGGAATGCCTTTCAGGTTGCGAGAGCTGGGGAAGGTTTCCGTGTAAAACCAAAACAAAATCATCATCTACTTTTGCTCTTAAGAGGTTAACAAGACTGCCGGCTATGAATTAAAAAACAAAAAAACAAAAAACAACACAACATAAAAATGGGAGTTTCACCACTTTGCTTTCTTTGTTTTTCCAGTGGTTCATCTCACAGTAAATCAAGAGCCTGCTTACCAATGTAATCAACAAAGGAGTTTATTACCAAAATACAATTAGTCAATACATGACAAAACTTCTGTAAAAGTAAAATAAATTATTCTAACTGTTGTTCAGTATCTTGTAAGGTAGTCAAAAGTAGCTCTATACAAAGCCTGCTTCCGTCGTTTCTAAACAAGACAATTCTAAAGAGAGTTTAAGGCATGCAGTTTAATGTGCGGATCTTACAAAATAAGCCATCCTATCAGTAAGAAACAATAAGAGAGAGAGAGAGAGAGGGAAAGAAAAAAGAACAACAACAAGGTCTGTGGTCTTCTACGTGTCAGTTTTCTATACGTTTTATACTTTGGCTATAAAAAGCAGTGCCGTCATATTACAATTCTTTTTCTTACAAAAATATAAATGTATCCATGCTCATGAATATCAACTGGAAAAGCCTATTAAATATATTTTTAACATTACTTTGAGCACCGACTGTACATTTTATTCATTTATTTAGTGATTAAATAAGAGCTTTAAAATTCAGAAACTGGCAGTTACTTCACTTGTCACTCAAGGGAAAGGCGCCGTGTGAAGCTGTAAAATAGCCTCTCTCGGCCAAGCTGCTAATGCCATATTTAATTGTGGAAGCAGGGCCCTGTTTAGTATAATATTCCGTTTTCCAGGGAAGTATATTTAATGCAATCGTATGGAATGAGCTCAGACTGAAGGTTTTAGTCTACTCAGACAGGAGAGCAAAGAGGCACTGGTGCTTCCTGTATCCTAGATGTCTGGTTTATTTTCGCATCCACTAAGATTCAAGCCATGTTTGCATAATATCTGCATATATATAAAGACCAAACCATCTACAGGCTAGCATTCCTGGGGGGTGGGGGGGGGAATGCAAATCCAGGCTTGCTTTTTAAGGTGGTGGGTAGGTTTATATGTGCCTTACTCTACATAATATTTGTCGTGCACAAATATCCAGTGAGTGCAAATGTCATTTCAACCACTTCTAATATTTTTCTACTCTGTTCTTGGCAGAGTTTTACAACTGGGTGATTCAGTTGATTATCTCAAATAAGGAAGCATGCTGGGTTTTTTTTTAGCATAGCATGTATTCAATACAATTCCTTGGATACAACTGGAGGCTATTACAGAACAAGGTGGCTCTCTTAACTCTTCTCCATAAATTCTTTTCCCTAACAAGAGTATATAAATACCTGCAGCTTGAAGTATAAATGGGAAGTTTATCCGTAAGAACTAGAAACTAAAGCCTACTTTTTAATTCAGAGCACTGAGTTCAGCTCCTACATAAATTAAAGCAAACAGTATAATTAGCGAGTCTAAGCATCATCTTACCAATATCTAAAAACTGAAAAGAAGACATGCTATATATCCGAAAAGTGCTTTTTGATAAAAAAGAAATTCAATATATCCAAATAAGGTACATCTCAACATCCCCGCCCCCACCAAGGCAAGTAACATGATCAATAAACTCCTTTCAGGCTCCAGACTGAAGAATGTCAGTTTAAAATTGGTTGGCTTTTTGTGCAAATAAAGGTAATGTCACTCTTTTAGTACTGACTAGTCACTTAATTTCTTTAAAAAAAAATCTCTGAGTTATTTAACAATGCGAGTTAAAGATTACATACAGAAAATGCACTTCTTTATTCCTTGTTCATTTTTTTTAAAAAATACATGCCTAAAAATTAATAGCTGACTTCAGTAGGAACTTCACTGCTGTTATATACTGTAAGCTTATACTTTCACAATTTTATTGTAGTGTACTAAAGAGGCATGATCTATTGTGAAGAATGAAAATAAACAAAGGACAGCTACCATGGCTTGAAAGGGGAAATTAAAAATGCATTTTTAAAAAATTTTACTTAGATGAGGAATGTCTAACCTTAACAATTTTAAGACTTGAAGTCCACGAGTCTTAGTTGCCAAGGTTGGACACCTCTTCTGTTCCTTAAAAAAAAAAGTTTCTCCGCCTCAGCTACTTTGCATGGGCTTCAACTCCCAGAATTCCCTAAATTCAAATCCATGCAGCTTAAAGCGATTGTGACTGAGAAAAGCTGCCCTAAAGGACAAACTTGGAAACAGCCACATTCTACATCCTATCTAACTGTAATCCTAACCTGGAGTATTACTGTAAATCAAAAATGGGCAACTTGTTTGGTGGTAGATTGTATCTCATTTAAAAGTAAAAGGTCCAGCAAGGGAAAGATCAGAATTTTCTTCCGTTTTTTCTTTTGGCAAGAGTGGGTGCCAGGTAACGATGGGCAGTAGGTTCTTCTCAAATTTGGACCATGCAGGGACTTCCAAACTTTGTCAACTTTTAAGACTTCTGGACTTCAACTCCCAGAATTCCTCAGCCAGCCATGGTGGTTGGGGAATTCTGGGAGTTGGAATCCTCACAAGTCTTAAAAGTCGCCAAATTTGGGGACTCCCAGACTACTACAACGCTCTCTTTTCAAGGTACTGCTGCATATAGTTCAGAAAGAAACAATATACAGTATTAAAAGAATGCAAAAAGGAGAAATACGACATTGGGTAATATGAAATGCTTTCAAGAACTATTCCCCATTCAGCATTTAAAGCTTGAAAATTATTTACACCAAGTTTTCCATTTGCCTAACTTCACACTCCAGAAATATTTGGGGCGAGGGCAGGGAAAAAAGACACCCAACTCCAGTAGCACCGTAAAAACTGTTGAGGTTTTAACTTTGCTAAAATACAAATATAAATAGATAAATAAATAGAGAAGGAATATATCCCGCAAGTCTTGCAAAATAATTCAAAACTGCATATCAACTGCACTGTAAGCAATCAGCTACTTGAGTGAAAGGAAATGCAGTAGAGGCGTGACATGAGCGGAGAGAGAACTGTTAAAAGGAAGCACCCAACTATGTTTCATACAAAGAATAACATTGGTTTTGTAATAACGAGATGAGATTCTGTCATTGGCATAGAAATCACTGATGGAGGAAGAAATCCATGGCGTAAGACAGGGATCTTCAAACTTGGCCATTTTCAAGACTTGTGGACTTCAGCTCCCAGAATTCCCAGGCCAGCATGGCTGGCTGAGGAACTCTGGAAGTTGTAGTCCATAAATCTTAAAGTTGGCAAGAATGGAGACCACTCTGGCCTGAGGGACAAAAGAGGTTGTAACACCTGCCAAATCCTAAGAGTGTAATGTCACAAGGTGCCAGAAAGAACAGCAGAGCTCAGCTAAGAACGCACAAAATTGTGTGTTCTTAGCTGAGCTCTGTGATGCCTTTAATCTTCCTGGGGTGTTGGGGGGTTTTTTTGAGAGAGAGAGATGAGAAAGGAACAGCAAGGAGTGAAATTAACATTCGGTCTCATTTTGATGGAACAATCCCTCCGTCAGATTAAAAGCTGCCTGAGACTGGGAAGGACCTGTTTGTTTTCAGGTGCTAAATCCAGCAGGGTATTTTTTTTCCTCTTAGAGTTGCAATGGACTTTTGTATAGAGATTTTGCAATGTTATTTGATGAGAGAGAGAGAGAGAGGGAGGGAGGGAGAAGGAAGAATGGAGGGAGAAATAGATAGATCCCTTTCACTGCACTGCTTCGGAGTTGGATTAACCTTTTATCTTGTATCTTGTGGCCCTTCTAAAATTATCCATGCTTAAGCACACTGAAATGAAATACTAATAAATATCTGCTTAACCTATGTACAGGTAGTACAGAAAAATTTGCTTAAAGAGGGTCCAATGACATACTTCCTTTCCTATCACATCGAAGAAAAGAATTAAGCGGCCAAATATTGTACCAGGAGGCAGAACTTATATTATGTCGCTTGACGCAGCAAAAGAGAGGTTTTGCCTGGAAAACCATTGGTTGTGATAGGAAGCCTAAGAACTAACAAAGGCTTCTGTCCTCAGAAATGGCTGCTTTACGGTCGTATCAAGATGGTTTTCTTTTAACACTTACCTGAAGCAGATTTTATGCCCTCTGGATGCATTTCTAGGTAGAAAGGCTAAATCCCCTTTTCTGTTAATTCCTCACGGTGAATTCTCTACACCACTATCATTTGGGTTAATAATAGGCATAAAAAATAGTTCTGTGGGTAGAAGGTAACTTCTGGGTTATTATTATTATTATTATTATTATTTTACTGTAAACGCAGCATTATCATGTCAGGGTTTCTTCAAAAACTTGTAAAATAATCTGCTCTTCTGCAGATAACACAGGCTTCGGGATGGAGGCAGGAACAAAGGCTTGCTGAAGAAAAGCACTTTGAGCAAATAAATATGTACATATACATACATGCTTATTCCTAAGTTCTTTGATTTAGCAAGTCTTGCAGGCAAAGTTGGAGATCCAGAGCGAAGGGAACTTTCTCTAGCTTGATGTATTTCCACTTAGGCAATTTGAAGATGTGCGGCTGGGGATTTCTGGGAGTTGCCCAGAAATTCCCAGCCAGCAAGGTTGATTGGGGCATTTTAGGAGTTGGAAGTCCACACATCTTCCAAGCTGCCAAGGTGGAGAAACATTGAGTTTAGTTTATACTTGGAGTTGCTGCATGGTCCTTGTTCAGAATGATGTTGATGATTTCCCCCTCGTGTTCTTTCATGTGGTCCAACAAGTTCTCTTTGCTGGTGGACTCAAATCCACAGATACAACAGCAGAAGAGCAGAACACAGTATTCTGAGCCCAGGTAGGACAGGCCTGCGGCCTTCTCTGAATTGCTTGAGGTATTGGTTGTAGAAGGTTGATCCTGATGGTGGTCAGAAATCATTATTTTGTTCGCTGTCGGCTTAGGAGAGTTTGAAAAAGACAAACCTTCGGAGCTACTGGTGAAAGGAATGGCATCGCCTTCCAAAGTTTTGGTTACTTTCTTCCCAGTAAGCTGACCCAGTAGCCTACAAGACAAAGGGAAAAAGTTGCTTATTGTTCATTCACGAACGCTCAAGAGATGGGAGGATTGTTCAATACTACACGCAATACTGAAAAATGACCTGTAAGTTATATTCTGCATTTCCTCAAAAGGGCTGCAATGTTATCTTCAAACTGTTATTAAATAGCCTCTTGGTTTTTTTTTAAAGAGAGGTTTAGAAGTTTGGCATAAGGAGAGTTGTCCCGGCCAGCCAGGTGGGTGGCAAATAAAATTAATAAATAAATAAAGTAAAAAACAAGAGGTCAGCTAGCAAAAGCATCCATTTTCATCATCCCTCCCTCCCTCATTTCTGATTACATTTCTTCTCTCAAACCAGGAGATTAAAAGGGTTATCTTTTCATCGTGATTTTGGATTGAATCTGGTGTCACAAACCTAAACGGGGACTGCCGATCGCACACACCTGCCGCTTTGTGATATTGCATCATTAATAGCTTTATTCACTTGTTCGTAATTATAGTTTTCATCACTTGCATGTTTCCACATATGAGACTTCAGGGAAGGAGGGTGGCTGCATACATATCCACAGAGAGAACATCTGAAAGGGATGCAAAAGTTATTGCAAGTGTAAACAGATACTACAGCAAAGCATTATTTTCAGACCAGTACTCTATTTTTCATTTAAGCCCGGCTTATCTGGAATTGCAGTTTAAGTATCATTTTAAAGAACCTCGACTAGGGTTCCTCCTCTAACTTTAATTCTGTCTCAGGGCAAATATATAGCCCTACCTATAAGATTACAGATTAGCTACCCGTGTTTCCCCGAAAATAAGACCTTGTCATATATTTTTTTTGCCATCAAAAAAGGCACTAGGTCTTATTTTTGGGGAGGGAATGTCATCCACTGACTCATCTCACTTGCGCGTCACCCCCAGCCTCCTGTCAGAGGCCTTCAGGAATTTCTTCTGCAGACAGCAAAGCCGATCGGAGCTTTATTATCCGCTAGAGAGGCCTTCAGGAAAGCCTTGCTGGGTGCAGAAGAAATGGGCTGGCAAGACAGGTGTCGGGGTGTGCGAGGCCTGGCTGCAACTGTCCAAACATAAGCAGTAGGGCAGGGCCCCACTCCATCTCCACCGTAGCTTAATTTTTACTTGTGAACCCTGGAGTGGGCAGGGGGGGGGGTCTTAATTAGGGCTTATTTTGGGGGTAGGGTGCATATGTAAAAAATCAATCTAGGATTTACTTTCGGGTTGGGTTGTAATTTCTGGGAAACACAGTAATAAAATGGACTTTTCAGGATGCAGAAATTGTAGGGGACATCCCATATTCTCAGGAACTGAGAATATGAATTTTCAGAAGATCAAAGGCTGAATCTGGTTAAAATGGAGAAGATGTCTATTGCTCTAAGATTATTTTTTTCTTTTTGTGCTTCAAATTAGATTTATCCCTGGCCATTCAAAGGAGTGGTTTGTCCTTATCTCCTCCTTCCTAGGGTTTTGAGAGAGGGACCGGCCTAAAAATCACCCAGCTAACTAAGGCAGACTAAAACTCTCACTTTGTAGACTGTTGTTGTTAAGGCTACACCAGACTGGCTCTCTCTAAAGCAGGTATCCCTCGATGTTCGGCCACAGTTCAACCCAAATTTTCCACTGCTAAGCAAGACAGGTGCTAAGGGAGTTTTGCCCTGTTTTACGACCTTTCTTGCCACAGTTGTTAAGTGAATCACTGCAGTTAACACAGTCGTTAATTGAATCTGGCTTCCCCGTTGCATTTGCTTCTCCGAAGGTTGCAAAACTGGATCACATTACCCCAGGACACGGCAGCTGATTTGAGTCAGTTGCGAAGCATGTGAATTTTGATCATGTGTGACCATGGGGATGCTACAATAGTCATGTGAAAAATGGTCATAAGCCACTTTTTCAGTGCTGTTGTAACTTTGAAGGGTTACGAAAGAAATGGCTGTAAGTGGACGGCTACCTGTACTACCAAATAATTGATAAATTGGGGGGACGACCGGATACCTAATCTTTCAAAAGATTACTCAGTGAAACAAATCAATAAGCTCAGTAACAGAACGTTACATGGAGCTCCGGTTAAAAGGGCTGGGGCATTCTTTCTAGGAGAGACTTTGGAATGTGATGGTTGAAAGAAGGATAGCAACAGCATTAGCACTTGGACTTATATACCGCTTTACAGCCCTCTCTAAGCGGTTTACAGAGCCAGCATGTTGCCCC